CACTGCTTTTCATACTCCTCTGCCTGGAAAGCCAGGCGGCTTTAGTGCAAAGAGGCCAAATGCAGAGACCTATTGAACACGCACTGCACATGCTTATGACGCCAATAGAAAGATGCAAATTAGCGTTTCCAAATGCAATACTCAAGCAAAAAGAAAGTCTAAGAGCAGAGCTAAAAGCAAGGGCCTTGCATTGCAAAAGTGCTCCCAGCTTTCTCATCAAGTTCTAGCCTTCATGATCCAAAGGATGTTGAACCTGTTGTTTGCTGCTGGGCCAAACCTGTCTTTTCTCCCGTTCCATATGGGAGGGGTCATTTCTAGTAGGAAAATCCGTATTTTGGGAAAGAAGGAAACACAGGTGGGAAGAACAGAGGTTGTCTGGAGTTTCCTCAAATTGCTGCAAAGGCGGCAGAGGACTGGATTGCTATGTTATACCCGTCCTCGGGTATTCATCACAATAATGGAAGAGTGTAGAAGAAAGAATCGAAGCAACTGGAGATGCGGTTCTTAAGGCGCATCTTGAAGGTATGCTGGACACGTCTGAAGATATTTTGTCAAGAGCAGGCTGCAGGAGGAAGTTGCTGATTAGCATCAGAAAGAGACAGTTGGAGTTCCTCGAACACGTTATGAGGAAAGAGGAAATTGAAAGTCCGGGCGTAAGTGGAAAGATTGAAGGAAGGAGCGATCGTGGACGGCAGAGGTTGTCTTATGTCAAGAGTTGATCTAAATGGATGACTGTATCGATACTGGAAACTCTGCATGCCTCGAAGAGACCAGATCTGCGCAAGACTATGCTCACCAACATCCTGTTTGGATATGGTACCTAGAGAGCGCGAGCAGGCAGAGGTGCAAAAACACGACCATCACGCAAGGCAAAAACGGGTGTCACCGCGATGCGGCCACGCAACCTGACAGATAAAACAGGCCGGTCGCTCCCCACTGTGCACGGCTGCTGGTAGTCTCCTCTCCAAAACGAAATGGCATAAGCCTCATAAACCTCTCTCCACCCAGTTCACGCCAGTTCCATGTGGGTGCTCGTCCTGTCGAAGAGGGTGCTGTCCTACCTGCACTTTCTGAATCCGCTCCTAGAAAATTATGCGTGGCTAGTTCCTTGAGATATCTAGAGCCCGTCAGGCAAGCAACACTGCAACCACTACATTTTCCAGGCTAGCTTTATCATTCTCAGGTCCTGCTAGCAGCAGAGCGCGCCCGCCCGGCCATCCACCCTACTCTCCACCCAGCTGCTCGGCTTTTGCGGTAGTCCCGCTTTGCTCTCTGCTCCAATGCAGAGGCTCAGCTGGCTAGTTTTAAGCTGGCTCATACATACCTATGTAGTCACAGCAGTGCCCGCGTCCCTTAGTCTGTGTGCACTGTTTCACAAACCTCCTTTTCCATGCAGCACACAAACTTTATTCCTTTAGGTGGACAGTGGCAAGTCGGGCACGAGGCAGGCAGCACAACAACAGACAGGTCCGGGAGCAGAAAGCAGAGCAGCAGTTCAGACAATGGGCTGGCCCCCAATGCTCTAGACGCTGCAGTAGTCGTTCTCACCAGCAGCCTCCAGTACACTCAGAGAGATGGCGAGGGACTAGAGCAGCACACAAAGCCTTTCCTTGCAAGATGACCTGTTCAAATCCAGCCAGGCAGATATGGATCTGATAATCCTCACCCCGTGGTTGATCTCAGCCCACTTCTGACTGCACGACTGTCTGCCAAGCCTCCCCCTCCGTGGGCAGCTGCAGCTGCACGGGCCGCAGGCGCCTTCCAGCCGTTACTTAACATTTGTTTAAGAAAACTATTGCAACCAACCCACCTTGACATAGAGATGCCATTATTTTCTTTTGTTCCCACTTATTTCACTCTGGATGTCACGGGTGCAAACACCAGTCCCCAAATACAACGCACGGACATTTCCTTACCTTCTGGACATTTGCTTCTCCAGAAAGAGGTCTGAATTGCTTTGGCAAGTGCTGTGATGTCTGCGACCCGTCCAAAAAGAAATGCAACCACTGTTACTACAGATGCCGGCTCTTCCCAAGGGAACGTCCCCTCTATTTAGATGGATTTTGCACCCCTCAAAAAACTGGTCCAGTGTCATCAGAGGAGGAAATGTGACGCACCTAGCGCACTACTTTGGGGCCCAGCTTGACTGCAATCATGCAACATTGCCATGCAAGCGAGGGGGAGCCTAGGAGTCTGTGCCAGCACTTCTTGTCTTTGGAAAGGGAACCACCGTGCATCTGGTGACCCCACGCAAAGGCAAGTGGGTAGTGCCCAGCTCCTCTCCCCTGGCACAGCAGAGTGCTCAAAGCCTGCTGTAAATACAGCCCCACATAAAGCACCTCCAGCCAAGATGCACGTCTCAAAGCAGAGCGACGCGGCCTCCTTTCCCCCCTTCCTCCCCAGCTACGGTGCCCAGGTTTGCTTGCATGTAGACAGCAATCGCCCAGACGCACCATCCATCATTCCCCCGATTAGGCAGCACAAAGGTGAGCGACTAGACAGCGCTCCTTCGGTGACGCAGCACGGCAGCTGCACAAGGGAAAGGCAGATCTGGCTCAGCCCTTCAGCAGGGCTGAACTGCGGGCTGCTGTCGACTTTTAGCGGAGCATTTGATCGCTAAATGTTAATCCGTCCTCACGCCCCCTCTAAGAGGCAGGCTTTATTATCTACATTTCTCAAGCGGGGAAACTGAGGCGCCGAGCAAGGATGTGACGTTGCAGAGGGAGTCCGCGTCAGAGCAGGGACGGGAGCTCAGTGCCGCATTCGCACCTCCACAGCGGGTAGTAAATCCTGAACGACTCTCAGAGCCCCCTTCATCCCACTCTCTCGCAGCACACTTTGCCAGTGCGTAGGCTTGATCTGGTCTAATCTGATTTCCATGGCTGTCACCTGAATTTGCCATTGCAGGATGAGACAGCTGCATTCGTGAGCAGGGACAGGGACCCCAGCGTGCACACCGTCCCAGCCACACTCAGGTCAGATCAGGTAAATCACTGCAGAGATGCAAGGTGAAGATGAAGCAGCTTTAGGACACAATCAGAGGAAAGGGGGCATGTTAGGAAGCACAAAGGTGAGGGACTAGACAGCGCTGCGGGGGTCTGCTGACGTCCATGCCAACAGCGGCACCGTCGGGAAGTGCGACGGAGCGGACCAAGGGCAAAGACAAAGCTGGGAGGAGGATGCTCTTTTCTCCAAGCCTTCGTGCCAGTGCTGCATGCTTCTGACCCAGTTGCGCCAGGATCTCACATTCGCTCCACGTAAGATTGGTAACGTGCCTGTGTTGCGAATTCGGCGCTGCTCCGCTGGACACGTCCCCGTCTCTCACCCAGCCACACGAGTCTGCAGGACGGCCTTTTAAGAGCCACCTTCAGTGCAACGTCCTGGACCAACGCCCAGCCTGCTCTTGGATCCATATCTAACACGAGTGACGATGCAGGCCACCTGGACCCAGTCGCTGGGCTCCACAACGGTTGCTTTTAGGGCTGGCGTGAACTCCCTCGCGGTGTGCAAGGTCACGCTACCCGACGCTGGCAGGGCACCAATCTGCATTCCACGCTTGTCCGACAATCCCACAGCAGCTAATGAGATTTGCAGGTGCCTGAAGCACGTATAACGAGCATCAGATGACTTTGCTGGCTGACGGGGATGTGACGCCTAGTAACAAGAGCCAGAAGGACATCACAGCCCCCCTGTACTGGGTGAAAGCAACCCCAGAGATTTGGAGGAACAAATAAATTTCACATCGTGTCCAGACAAAGCCGCATGAAACCACCCCAAATCATGCGTCAATCCAGGCTCATTCAGCTTGCTAAATTCAGGCACTGTCCTGTTTTAGGTGATCACGGGCTGGTGGCCTGAGTTTGGCATGAAGGTATCAGCGTCCTCCTTTGCCCTCCTAAATCACGGCACCCGATCTACCCAAACGCGTCACAAGCCCCACGCTGCCAACAGCCACCTTGGGCTGAAGGGCTACGAGGGGTTTTGAATGGCGGCAGAGCGAACCCTGTGCACGGACAGGCATGTGTTATAGCCGAGCTACACCCTTAGTGCACGGCCCAGCACAGACGAGTGCAGAAACGCTGCCCCGAAAGCCAGGCAGCCCCAAGGCCCGGAGGGGCAGTCTGCAGAGCCAGCTGCACCCGCGCCCATCAGTGACAGCTCTCCCTTCTGAGCTGCGGAGAGGAGCCAGCAAACAAGTGAAGCTGGGCTTGACCCTGCCCTCTGATCCCCCCCTTGCGGGCACAAGCAGCCCAGGAGCCACGTCAGGGTGGGGAAGAGCAGCCCAGGCTGGCACTGCTTCAGTCGAAAAGTGCATGTGCAGAGCAAGGAGGGGTGCATCTGGGTGCCAGCACCGGTCCGAGAGGCCAGAAGGAAGCTGGGGGCACCCCAGGGCCCCCCTAGCCAGCCCCACCAGGGTCCCGAGGCACGCGGCTCCCTGCCTGCCCTTCGCCAGCCGCGGAGCCCCGAGCGGGTGCAGGGTGCATGGAGCAGGGTGCATGGAGCGAGGAGTGGGGTGCTTGGAGCGGGGTGCAGGGATGCAGGGAGCAGGGTGCAGGAAGCAGGGTGCAAAGATGCAGGGTGCACGAAGCAAGGAGTGGGATGCACGGAGCATGGAGTGGGGTGCAGCATGCATGGAGTAGGGATGCGGGGTGCAGGATGCAGGGAGCATGGAGCGGGGTGCACAGAGCGGGGATGTGGGGTGCACAGAGTGGGGTGCAGGGAGCGGGGTGCACAGAGCGGGGATGTGGGGTGCACGGAGTGGGGTGCAGGGATGTGGGGAGCAGGGATGTGGGGTGCAGGGAGCAGAGGAGTGGGGTGCATGGAGCAGGATGCAGAGGTGCAGGATGCATGAAGCAGGGTGTAGGGTGCATGGAGCGGGGTGCACGGAGCAGGGATGTGGGGTGCAGGATGCAGGGAGCGGGGTGCATGGAGCGAGGTGCAGGGAGCGGGGATGAGGGGTGCAGGGAGCGGGGTGCAGGGAGCGGGTGCACGCGGCTCACCTGGAGTGCAGCCTCATGGCGGCGGGTCCGGGCAGGCGGTCCCCCGGGGGCGGCGAGGCCATGGCGGGCG